GGGAATGCAAGGCAGCTCAAAAAGACACCAGCTACCCTGCAGTTGTGAGCCTGGCATTCGTGTGTTCGGTTTAGCAGTGGGGAGGGGAGGGGAACCATGGTAGCATTGAAGAGCCAGGGACCAAGATCAGACAGGGCCGTGTACGATGAGGAGACGCTTAGTCCAACACCGCGTCTCCGAGGAGCCTCTGCTCATGCCTTTCGGCAGTTAGCCAGAGAGGGCCGGCTGCAAAGCTGCGGCTGATTCTCAGCCCCTTCCCAAAAACCGCTGTACTGCTTGGGGCTGATTTTGGCCAGTGCAGAAACCTCCTTGTGGAGCGCTTCCTTGGATCCCAAGGTTGCAGGGAAGCATAGAACTTTGACCTTGGGCTGGATTACAGGCTGCTTAATCTAGTCCTAAATGATATTATCATCTTCATTTATTTATTTAATTGGCATTGCATTAGATCTCATTGTACTGGGTGAAGGCCCTGCATGTGGTAAGAAAGGCTCCACTCCCTGGCAGAATTGCAGTCTAAGTAAGGTAGGCCAGGGCGGGAGAAAGGAAATAAGTAAGCAGTAACCCTGTTAAAGCGATGATGGACTGAGGCACCGAGCAATTACATGACTGTGCTGAGGTCATACAGGAAACCCATGTCAGAACTGAGAAATAAGACTGGATCTCCTGAGTCCCAGCCCTGGGCCTTTCCTGCAAGATTCCCTGCCCTCTTCAGAATTCGCTGGTCTACCAGCCGCACGGCCTTACTTATCACGTAAGTCACAGTACCAGTTCCTCACAGCTCCACACAGCATGCGTGTGCCCAGGATATTGCAGTTTAGAGGCGGGATTAGAGCCACGGTATAATTGTTCCTGTGCGTTTTGCTTACCGAACGTGCACGTGCAGAACAGAAAGACAGTGGAGCCCTTCTTAACGCCGTTCTGTGGCTGGGCCCACTGCAATACGTATAAAAACTCATCAAAATTGAATCTTAAGCCTGCACGATTTCCAGTCTCTTCCTTTAAGTACTTCAATGCCCCAAGGGTGGGTTTTTCAAAAAGGCGCTGTTTATAGGAGTTTTATCTCCGACTTCAGCA